CTCCAAGTCAAATCACTAGCTTGACTCAGATGCCAAGGTCCGATTAATTAACCCCCTATTTCCTAATCAGATAGAGGCTTCTTGAGAAGGCCTGTCTGGGGGACTTCTGCTCACCCCTCTTGCTTAGCCTCCCTTACTGAAGCAGCCAGCCATGGGAGGGGGGTGGATCTTTATCTACCTCTAACATGCAGCAGCGGCTGCTCTGGGGCCGGGTGTGCCCTCCCCAGATGCATTCAGACTGTCTGGATTTTGCTTTTATTACTTTACTGACTAAAGAGCAAAAGGAAGCCAGGAGAAGGGTTGTCTTCTATTAACCCGGCGAGCTGCCACTCCTTAAGTGAGTGACCAGCTTCCCCACGGCTTTAACCCTTGCCACCATTTCAGGTCACCTACCTGCATTGTCACACTGTGGGACAGAATAACCATGACTGATGCTTACCCTGTCCCACAGCCCTCTTCAGCTCCAACATCGCTCAGGATCAGACACAAAGATGTGCAGTATGTGAGAGAGTAGGAAAAGTCAGGGAGGATGAGAGAGAGAACAGATGATGGTAACCAGGCCTGTTCTCCAAAGGTTGAGAGCTATACTGAGGACCATACAGACTCTGAATACTGGTATTGATAGACTTGGAAATCCTGAAGGCTGAAAGCAATCTTCAGCTTTTCGTGTGACGCAAGACACAGGAGAGGAGGACTTAAAGAAACCCAAGCTCCAGGTTAATGTGTTCCATACAGAGCAGTTACAGTACAAAGGTATGCTTTTGTACGTACAAAAGTACGTCTGCAAGCACATGTGTTCCTGCTCCTGAAATGGGACAGCATTTGGAAGAAGGAAGACATCCTCCCCTTCTAAAGAAAGAGCAGTGAAGAGGAAGAAAATCCTTCCATCTTTTGTTTCACAGATCTCTGAAGAAGGGGTTATAAAGTGTTTTAAACTGCAGGTGAAAACAGGGCTTAAGGAAGCTTTTACAATTCTCACTTCTTCACCTTCCTGAAAGCAAACCTGTGGTAAGTTGGAGCATTCAGTACATGTTAAGAAAAAAGCTCCAAGTTTCTGGGAAATAATAAGGCAAAGAGTTTAGTCAGTTCATCATATACATTCTTCTGTATTTAATGAACTCAGACTTGGCTACTTTATCCTAAAACCATTTTGTTTTGAAATAGTTAGAATAAACAAACTGGAAGTTGCAGCTGTATTTACTTGAGTATTGCCTTGTTAGCCTCTTATCACATATGTTGTTATATTAATAAGTAGTCTTGCATTTGAACCATTGTGCAATAGGCAAGCTTATTGCCTTTTCCCAAGAAAGCGTGTATTCATGGGAGTGTAGAGAATTTGTAATCTCAGCATTCCAGCATCTGAATTCTGCTGCTTATACTGTAACTACTTTCCCGAGTTTAAAAAATATTCCCTCCCATGTCTGAAAAATTACCTATTTTAGGATCTCATTATGTACTTAAATACAAATGCTGCGTTTTATGGAAAGTATATGTATAGCTAGGACTAGAAGACTGAATACAAATGCTGCGTTTTATGGAAAGTATTGATGTATAGCTAGGACTAGAAGACTACAGAGATCCATTAGAAAGGTGATCTAGTGGGGATCACCGTATCAGCCGTATGTTTATTACAGACAGGGGAGGAGTGATAGGATGGTAGAGCTGATGAAAAAAAGAGGTGGTAGGCATGGGAGAGAAGACCACCTTCAAGCAGACATGCGAAAGGCCTCTAGTTTCAAATCCCAGTTTTCTCCTTGTTTTTCCATAAATGTTGTAGGTGCTGATTCAGTGAAACCTTTGGTGCTTCACCTGCAAAAGGACTGTTTTGACTGGAGTTGTAACAGACCTTTTGCAGTTTGCACTAACGGTGTGCTGTATCTTCTGGGTGCTTCATTGCAAACTGTGCTGGCTGCTCATAATTCCTAATGCAAACATTGATTTACCAGTACTTAGTACCTCGAACAAAATCAGATCTTGGACTGTTTGAGCATAGAATAAAAGGCTTCTTGAAATTTAGAAGACAGTCTTGTAAATCTTTGCTGAATTTATCTGTGAAACAATACTTCAGCAAAACTAATTACGTGCCCAAGGGATGGAAGATGTCGATGATATGAACGTCCGTTTGCTTATGCGTGAGGCAAGACGTTTGTGTGGGTAGGTATTCTAGTTCTAAGGGGAAATACTAAAGAATAGATTTTGATGCTTTGCTGTTGATGGGACAGAATGACAACACAGTGACCGGCATGAGAAGAAACAGCATTGTCCTTACTCTCCAGTATTGCTGAATAGCAGAGTGTGTTCTCTTGTGGTTCAATACGATAGCATAATCCACAGCTACATACATAAAATGCACAGAAACGATATAAAAGCAGATGTGACGTATCCTAAATTTGCAATGTTTGATACTGCAGAAATGTTTTAATTGGCTACTTAAGACATGCATTTTTATGCCTGTGCTATAATTTAATTGTTGGTGGGGTTTAAATTTTTCTTAATCACTGGCAGCACAAACTATTTTCCCCTGCTTGGTATGCCATACTGTTAAAAAGTATTTGTTATTCATTATATTTTCAGGTTCAAAGTAAACAAGAGAAGAAACCCGGAACTTCATCCCCAGTCCCTTTGAACTCTGCGGTTAGCCCTTGCACTCTTCTGCCTGTGAATAAAGCCGCCAGCAGTACCCCTTTGTCAATAAACATTCCACGTTTCTACTTCCCTAAAGGACTTCCGAATGTCTGCACTAATCATGAAGAAATCATTGCCAGGATTGAAGAAGCCTTTACAGAGTTTGAAGATGAGAAGGCAAACATCTGTGAAATGGGGAAAATTGCTAAGGTAACTATTGTCTAGGTTTTTCATTTTTTGGAGAGAAAGACTGAAACTAAAAGTAATAAAATATCTCATGGCTGTTCTCATTCTTTAGTGAAAAAAGAACCAATATCCTTTTGCTCTGGATGTTTTTATTTAGATTAAGAAAATAGTAAATAAAAATGAGCTCAGTTTGCTGTTTGTCACATCTGATATGTGCACTCTTGCTTGCTTTGATTTGCGAAATGGTTCTTTCAGATTTCTTACCAAATACAAATTGCATTTTTCTGTTTCTCCATCATTATGCTCAGAAGATAGCAGAAACTTAGTCTGCCTCTGTGGCTTCAGGTAGTGCCAGCTACCTCCTTTGTGGTTAGTTGTCCCACTAATCTGGACCTGATCTACGTCTACCACTGCCGTATTGCTTGAGAAGGCAGTTTCTGACCTATGCCGCTTCGGACATAGAAGAGGGAAGTACTTAGTCAGCCCTCAGCCACTGAGATGCCTGTGTTCAATATCCATAGTGCAGGTGTCAGCAGACTTGGAGTTGTTGCAGTCTGCTAATGAGTTCCTGGCTTTAGGAAGCAAAACACGGCACTTCTGTGGGAGCACGATGCAGATGGGAGGTTCTATTTTCCTCTTCTTTGACCGTGGTTTTTAGTAATACTGATCTAAAACTAGCAGTTGTCAGATGCATCTCATATGTTTGGTTCGCCCTGAATGCATTTTTGGCACTATAGATTGAACAATTATGTTCTGTCCAAGAGGAACACTTGTTTTCCAAGAAGGAAGATTTTTCTGAAAGGAGAGACTAGGTTGGTTTTTGGTTGGTTTGTTTTTAGAGGAATCGAATGGTGTTACTTGTAAACCTCTCTGAAAACATAAACAGAAAAACTTCTTTGCTTGACCAAAAAAAGGTTTGAAACTGATTTTATGACAAGATAGGCAACTGTGTGTGGCCTGTCATGTTCAAACTGAGAAAAGCAGGCAGATGGTGTAGAAGAGACCTCTGCCTTTCTGTCTGATCTCTGCATCTGTCTCTGTGTGGATGTGCTCCATGCCATTTAGCTATTGTAAGGCTTGCTTCTGTTCCATGGGATTATTGATAACGGTACCTGTTTTGAGGCTCTAAAATAAATGTGAGAGAACTACCTACACAAAGAAAACTGCAGAAAGTAAGTGTCTGTCTTTCCTCAGAGTAGCTAAACACCTGCAGAGGTACAGTTGCTTGACACAGGGATGGCTAAATCTGAAAGTGGTTCTTATGCTGATTGGTGTTCCCAAAAAAACCGTGCAGGCCCAGACAAAAAGTTGACAATGGACTCGCAGGATAGTCTTGCTTAACAGAAGAGGGGAAAGAGGCTTTGTGGGGAGAGCAGAAATGGTACCTCAACTACTTCTTCAAAATATTCCTCCTTCCATTTGGTGTGATATCCTTCTTACCAGTGCCTGGCCTAAATCAGCTGCACTCCCTCCAAGGCCTGTGTTTTGCAGGTGTTCTCCTACCTTGTCTGGAGTCATGAAGGTGGCTGGAAAGATCTTTGTGGTAAAGAGGAGGTTTCTTGAAGGTGTCCACAGCTGAATATTTGAAGCCATTTTCAAGCCTGCTTTTTTGAGGCATTAGAGAATACAAAACAATTGAGCTTTCACTGATTACCATTCTGAAAGCTAGCAGTCTCTGCAGAGGCTAGTTACAAACTTGTGTTCAGGGAGACCTTTTGCTGGAATCAAAAATCTTTCCATTTGTACTTTCATTTTTTTTTGTTATCCTGCTGAGATCTAGCAGTGTTGGGAAAATGGGCTGCTCTGTGTGGAAGGCACTGCACTGAAAACTATTTCGCCTTCAGGAATTTAATCATCAATTGTCTGTAATTAGAATTGATGTTCCCTTGCTGTCAATGAGAAGTAGTCAGCCCATATAGAGAACCGATCATCCTTTTCTAAAATCAGTGAGGTAGCTGGTGTGAGTGCTCTTCTGGAAGGAGGTGCCTGTCTCTCTCCACTTCGCTTTGCGGGGAATCTTGCTGAACGGTTCAGTCAAAGACAGAGCTTAAGAGTTTGTTATTCTCTGATCCTTTTCCTAGCCTGACAGGAGGTATTTCTCAGCTACTTAAAAAGGCATATGACAAAGTAGAAAGTTAGTGGTGGATTCCAAACCTTGGTATACAGTAAATAGCTCTTTTTGACTAACCTATGTGCCATTACCACTTTATTTCCCATATGTAAAAATGTGGATGGTGAATTTGGTGTGTGAACAAGCAGGCTGTTGTAACTGCTTTTGTATTCCTCTTCATTCTGGTGTTTCATTACAGATATGTGGCTGCCCACTCTACTGGAAAGCACCTATGTTCAGTGCATCAGGAGGAGAAAGGACAGGATGTGTATCTGTACACTCATTTGTATCTATGTGGAGAAAGTGAGTATCGCAAATGCAAAATTCTCTTTCAGGAAAAAGAGAACAGGCTACCATAGAAGTGTCTTTTTTTTTTTCCCCTTTTTGTTTTCTTCCACCAGACTTTTCAAATCATTGTTTCTTCTTCAGAAGGAAATAAATGGCTTAATCTCCATCAGCTTAAGTTTTCTTCCCTAAAACTCCCTGAACACTTGTTTCCATGCTGCATGAACAAACTTTGAACCAATCGCATAGATGATGAGACATTTTGGTCTGGTTGGCATATAAAAATATATTAACACAGTCCCTAGAAATATGTCAGCTGTTCCAAGATAGCTGATAGATGTCAGTGAATTTTGGATATATTTATCTCAGGCCTTATTGCCACTACACTAGTGCACTAAGCGAGTGCCATTTGGGAGTGGGGAGAGGAGGTGTGTGATAATGTTAAAGGACAGGAAGAAGGAGTGTAAAATAAAGAAACATCGTACAAGTGGATACTCTGAGAGCTTTAATAGTTATCAGCTTCCTCCAGCACACTGTATAAGTCTGTGGGGTTTGACAGTCACTTCCACATACTGTTGTCGAGGCTTCTTCCTGAAATTGAGAGTTCTGGATATACTGTGCTTGGAGTCAGAGGTGTGAGATGGAACAGACTTCCTCTCTTGCCTAATCTTTTTCCCTCCAGTGCAATTCAGGCTTTAGTCTGCTTTGTGAAACACCTGAACAATGTTTCCATCGCCTATCCAGAGAGACTTCAAATTTTTAACTTAATGATTGCTCTTCTTGAAGTAGCCTTTAACCTTGAGTATTTCCTGTGATAATATTGTCAAAACAGCTTCTAGTTACCCTGGCAAAATTGCAAAAATATTAGGGGTGACTGTGATCAGTAAGTTTTTCTTGACACAGACAACATTTTTTCCCTTCCTTAGGTTCCTCAATTACTACTAATTAATCCCTCATAGTTTCAGTGCTCTGACTTTCACATCCTTCAGATATTTGCAGACTGTGGTCATGCCCCTTTTCTGTATTCCTTTAACCACACCATTTTTAGCCAAGTTTTGTATGCTTTTTTTTCACTGTAATTGCTCTTTTAGAAACATCTTTTCTGTATTCCTTTAACCACACCATTTCTAAGCCAAGTTTTGTATGCTTTTTTTTCCACTCTAATTGCTCTTTTAGAAACATTCCCCCCCCTCCCCTTCCCTTCTGACAGTTACACATTTTTTTCTGGAAACATGAAAGATGGGAAGAAATTTATTGTTCCTGGTAAAGTTAGACTACAGCTATCTGAACACAGCTGTAACTTTAAAACAGGTATCTTTAATTGCTGAAGCCTATTTTCAAGCATCTGAGTAGGGGACCTGACTTTTCCAAGTGTGACATGCTCATTGATCTCATTTGAAGTTAATAGGAATTGCTGGATATAGAATGATAGAATCATTATGGTTGGAAGAGACCTCAAAGATCATCAAGTCCAACTGTATACCTGATGCCACCATGCCCGCTAAACCCACTAAACCATGTCTTGAAGCGCCACATCTAAAATAGAATACTTCTGAAAATCAGACCTTTTAGTTTGTTGCTAAAACATGGCTTTGGGATTCATCTTTGTGGACCTGATAATTTTTTTTTAAAGCTAAAACGTTAGCATCTCTTTTCTGCAGCTGATTTAGAATGTGTCTGTTAATTGACAGCATAATATGAACGTGCAGTTAACAGGATTGCTTATCAGCCACTGCATTTTTTTTCTGTTTCTCCCTGCCCCCCCTCCTTTTTTTTTTAAAAAAAAAAAATCTGCTTTTGGTAAAGAGTGATGAGGCCAGAATTAGTGGCAAGGCACTTGCAGCGTGATATCTGCAGATAAACTACAGGCATTTCAGTACTATGTTTCAATATAAGTTCATACACTTTCAGGAGAGGAGGCGGGGTGAATAATTGCTCATAGTAAATAATTAACAGTACATTTGTATTTTCACAGTTATTAAAGAATACAGGGTAATATTCTGAGTAATTTGTTTCCCTTATACTGTATGAACAACTTAGTGTTTGATATATCCGAATGTTCTCTTCTGTTATAGGTATTCAGTAGCGACGTGGTAAATGTCATGGAGTCTCCGTTTTCATGAATATTTCTGTTTGGCGTGAATTAAGTAATTGTGATCCCTTTGACCAGCATAGCATTTTGCATTAGGAGAAAGCAGAGATGAGAATTGGTGTCATAGATGCAAACTGTCACCGTAAGGAATGAGTTTACATGCTTCTCTAAGTATTCAGTCCTGCTAATTCTTTCATTAGGCTGTCTCCATGACTTCAGTGTGCAGCAGCCAGCTGTGCCATAATTAACAAGGGATGCTCTTTTTCCCTTCTGGACAGTGATTTTTCTGGTTGAAAATTTATTCACTGTAGTTTGGCGATATCCTCAAATATTGAAATGTAGTAAAGGATTAAATTGGAGAGCATGTCTGTTGTGGCATTCCACTAGGTTGATCCTATTGACTTCAAATGAGATCAGTGAGCATGCAGCATTTTGAAAAGTCAGGTTACTTACTAAGATGCTGTGGAATCAAAGTAAGAACAATCTTCAGTAAGAAACCTTGTTTACCACAGCAATGTTAACATGAAAAAAAGCTCCACTGGGTGGAAGTACCTTGGTGCTGCTGAAAGATATTGAAGAAAACAGGTCCTGGTAGTCTGAGGTCAACTTACACAATACATTTACACTGAATTATGCTAACATGTGATAAGGCACTTCATAATCCATCTGTAGCTCGTGATTGCCCTTTGAGGTACAAAGTGGTTGGAGTAACTCTTCATCTCTCTCTCAGAATGCTACGTAACTGCCATGATGATGCATCCAGATTCACATACCTTTTAGCGAAGCCCGGCTGTGACTACCTAGAACAGGAGGACTTCATCCCGCTGCTTCAGGTACCTGTAACAGCTCAGCAGTGAATGGATGGGGAGAGACCACTATGTGGTTTTTCTAACTCCTTTATTTTCGTGTCTTTAAATGTTTATCAAGGATATGCAGACCTTTGGTTTGAATGGCATCTGAGTCGAGTTCGTTTTAGAGTGAAATAGAAATAAACATTTTAAGTGGACTGTTTTGCCTAAGTGCCAGCCACCTACATATCTTGCTAAAGTTGCTGAGGATTGTCAAAGCTTTATTTAGTCTCTTGTTCATATTTATCAGTGCCTGGTAGCCAGGCTGAAATTTGCCGCGTTTCTCTAGGTGGTTAGTGGGAAAAATGCATGGCGCTGCTGATACTCAAGCACAACATAAAAGCTTATTAGAAAAGTTGTAAAAGTTACTTGACAAGACAATTATAATTGAATTTGTCCAGCAAGACTACCAGATACAACATCATGTGGAAATATTTGCAAAATTTTTGCAGTTCCAATTTTTCTGTATATGCCTCTAAACCTGCTAGTACACAAGTCTCACTACTAATTTAATTTTTTTCCTAATATTCAGGCTAAGTCTGTACATCCTGATTTCATTTCTTTTCCTTTTATTCAGATGTGATATACTTAATGAAGCAAAATATTCTTTATTTGTGGCCATTTAGGCAGGCTCTGGATAGGTTTAGGATTTCTCTATAATTTCTCTATAAATCACGTCTATCTGCTCCTCTGATCATCAGTTGATACTTTTTCTGAGCTTTTACACATATCAGTTGATACTTTTTCTGAGCTTTTACACATATCCCTAGATTTCTCACACTGTGTTGCCCTCTATGCAAAACCTCTGTGGAGGTGCTGCTCTGCAGAAAGATTTTTGTGTCTGCACTGGATGTTTCTGTGTCTCAAACAAAACTGGGATTGTGATGGGTAAATTTTCTCATGTTCCTTTTCATCTTTTCTCCACTGGGCACACTGCCTTTCCTGATTGATTGCAGCTCTGCTTTTCAGCTACTGGTGCAATCAGAGACATGTACAATCTTGTTTGTCAGTAAACCAGAGAGTAGCAATATTACACTGTATTACACCATCGTATTAGACATCAAGTTAGACTGGCCAAAATTTGGTCATATCACACCCCTAAGGGCACTGTGTCTGCTCTATCCCTTTGCTGTGTTGTGCTATAGGCAAAGCAAAACTTTGAACATGTTTTTTAAAGGGTGGCAGAGTCAGACATGTAGAAATTACACAGATACTGATTCATATGGGATCTGAACTGATTCATTCGGGATCTGAGCAGTTTCTCCACGTTTTTGGCCATGTATTTCTTGGCAGATTTGACATCATGAGCCAGTGTTTGGCTTATAAAAAGGTGATCTTGAGAGAAAGGCATCTCCACAGGTAGTTCAAGTAAATTTTGGAAAAGCATTGGTCATATCTGTTTGCATTCTGAGGCTCACAAGAGGTTTCGTTGTTGTGGAGGACATAAAAGGTAACTTTCTCAGCCTTTCAAGGAATGCTTATTTCTGACACCTAACTCTAATAAATGTTAATATATTCAGTGAATGGAGGAAAAAAAAAATATCTTGGAGAGGAGATAGTTGCATGGTCAACTAACTAATTTTTTGTCTCATTCAATGAAAATGAGTTTTCATCTACTCACTAACTCTCTTCCTTTGTTTTTCTGTCCTTAAGTAAATCAAAATGGCCCAACAGGTGCGTATTGCCCAGAAAAGGTATTCTACTTATAATTCTAGAAGGTTCACTAATATATATAAAAAGATGTCATTTCAGTTTTATTGTTAATGCTGCAAATAGTTTCAAAAGTAAGCAAAAATATTGGTTTGTAAACCGAGTAACTTCTAAACATTAAAAGGAGAAGAAAATCTATTTCATTTTACTTGGTGTTATCTTTCAGGATGTGGTGGAAACGCATCCTGGCCTGACGTTCCTGAAGGATGCTCCGGAGTTCCATTCCCGGTATATTACAACGGTAGGCGGACTCCTTTGATCTCCTGTGATGCTGCTGTACCAACCCTCCCTTTGTGATTTGTTACTCTTCCCAACAGCTCATCCTTCAGTTATTTCACAAAAATAGATGGTTTTTAGTATTACTGGCAATGAGTTATTTTAAGAACTCCTTCCAGAAGAATGAATCTGCCTGTGTGTAGAAGAGGTTATTCAAAAGGTTAATAATGATTCTTTCTGGTCTTAAGCAAACCTAGAAGAAAAACTTTTTTGGCCTTTAATCCTGATGAAGGAAAATGAGAGGTCCTTCTTTGGTCTTTGAGAGCTGCTATGTTACCCCTAATTCCGCTGGGCTGCTGAGACATGGAAGGCTGTATGTTTGAAGATTTCTGTCACTTCGACATGGAGAATCTGTGATTGTTCCATGATACAAAGCATCCTTTGCACACAGGGGTCTGCCGTCCAAATCTTCTGCCTCTTGCTCTTGCCAGAAGGCTTATCTAGTCTTTCTGAGTCTCTGAGCTGTTGTGACTACTGTTTGTTGTTGGGTTTTGTTCTGTAGCTTTCTTCCAACTTTGCAGTCAGCAGTTACGCTGGTGCTTTACCTGAAGAAGTTTGTACTATTTTTTTTTTAAGCCTTTAGCTTGTCTCATGTTGGGTATGAATCCAGATAAAAAGTGTAAATGTTAGGATGTTTTAACTCTGCAGTGGTAACAAATTTAAATAATGCCAGACCTGATGAGAGCTGTATCCCAACAATGCTCAAGGGCTTAAAGCTTCTTCTGTTTCCTTGCTGGGGTCTGCATGGGGGGCTGGCTGCACCACGTACTGGCAGCTGGGAGATTACTGGCAGACACAGGCTTGTTCCTTTCCTGTAAGGAGCAGATGACGGAAAAACACTGTTGCTCTGGGCAAACCCTGAACTGTCACACTAATGTTTTCTGAAAATGTATAACAAGAATCAATTTTAAATGTTTTAGATGTACTTGAACATGACAGTGAACAATCAGTGTATTATCAACATATTTAGACCCTGTGGAGCAAGACAACAGATATATTAAGCATAGTAACTGGCCAGAATAGGTAGGTATAACAATGGCCAGGGAGCTTTGGAGGCACATGAATGCATGAGCGTGGAACATGCCTGTCGCACGTGTACCCTGGTATTTGGTGTTTAAAGTACATGGAGAAGTGAGAGCTGAAAGATTCAAGGTCGCACTAGCATTGGTTTCTGACTGCAATATCAACCAGTTTGTTCTTTGCTGGTCAGTGGATCAAGATACAACGTGTGGTTGTCCTGGTGCTGGCTGTTGGGTGGTGACAAAGGCAGTTCTGTGCATCTGCCATTCCAGGTTCCTCTTCTCAAGTCACATGCTGTTCCTGTATTTTTGAGGGAATAAAGGCAAGAAAGAAACATCTTTGTAGAGTAATCCCCAAAATGATCACCCTCAGTGTCCTGAAACAGCAATTGCTGAGCTTCCTGGACCTCACTGGGGTGCAATGCATGTTCTGGTCTGAGAGACCAGCTGTGTGAAGCTGAGGTTCCACTTCAAGATAACTGAAGTGCAGGCTGCTACTAAAAAGGGCAACATCTTTTCCTTCCTTTCTCCTTTTCCACAAGTTCCCCAGTGCCTGCACAAGGTCTTGTGTGACCACCATAAAGCAGTCACAGAAGTGGACCCTTCATGAATACACAAAGCTGCTGAGTGCTTCTTGATTCTGCTTGTGCCTCCACTGTGCTTTCCTACTTCAGTCTGAGCCTTGAGGCACCCTTACTCACAATGCTCTGACAGAGGTGGCTTCCTAAGCTTGCTCCCAGGCGGCTGGGAAACAGTGGTGCTCGTGGTTGAGGCGAATGGTGTGTAGTGGTGAATCTTACAAAGCTGTGATGTCCTTCGCAGACTCCTCACGCTGGCAGGACAATGGTGTTCTGAGTGTCTCTGCTGACAGACAGATTCCTTCTGAGCTCAGTGTGTTTGGCCTTGGCGAGGTCACTGAGTTGGAGCAGAGTCAAGACTTTGGGAGGGAGACAGGCTGTTGGGTCAGGTTGTTCCCACCTAGAGTGGCAATACTTGGCCCACTGCGGCAGTGACTCTCCTCTCTGATACCAGGAGTTCCTGTTTTTCACATCTTTCACGGACAGTTTGGCACTTCTCTCTCTTCAATGTTACAAAATTCAGTATTTTCACCAGGAGGTAGTGAAGGAAAAACATCTTTCTCCTTGGATTTTGAGACTACTTGGATCCTTTTGATCCCTTCAAGGTAGAGTGCCTTATACCTACTTACAGTGACAGAATGCTGTATTTGCTGCTAGCGCAAGAATTACACTTTATTTCTGTGTTACAGATGAGGACCGTAAGGAGACACTGGCTTTTGTGTTCGTTGCTGGATACAGCATCACTTGGTTGAAATCACCTGGAGAGTAAGCTAGCAGTCTAGTATGGGTAAGATGCGTATGCATGTTTCATTTTTTTTGCCTACCTTTTAGGGGTGCCTTTTGGATACAATAGGCTGTAGTTTAATCTGTATCAGTATCTGTGAGCTGTTGTATTGCCAGTATACTAAACTACTTGTGTTTCTTTCAACAGAGACTGACTCCTGAAGCTGGTGAAGATAATGCAGAATATAACGTGGCATTTAATTGTAAAAGCTTTAAAATGTGACTTCTCCCAGAGTGTTCAAACGGGAGTCAGAGTTAGCGCTGCGTGCGGTTGTTGAAAAGCAGAGTCAACTAAAAACAACTTGGCAAAACCTACCGCTTGCAGAAAAATGCTTCAGCTTATGCAGTGTGTATGCTTTGCAGTGTAATGCAAGTGTGTAACGGGAGAATGACCTACAGGGTTTAATAAAGCTTTGTGGGTTTTTCCAGAAATGGTATTGCTTTTGTTCTTCTGTGGGAAGACTGGGGAAAGGTCTAGAACTGATCCATCAATGATTTGGGTCCTGGAGGTAGATTACATGAGGATAATGGCAAGTAGGAAGGGGCTCCCACTTCCAAAGGCTTATGTACTGGATTAAGAATAAATAATCTTCCATGCTGGGAAAAATGAAGCCAGTTATCACTTTCAGTAAGGCATAACTGCCAAGTGTGGCTTGAATGCTGCAAATCATCTCGGGTTGTGTAATTATCTTGTAGGATGTTTCCCAAATGCTTTTTTCTGACAGCTTGGTTTTCACAACCTGGAAAAGAAAGAGAGCAGTATTGGCATTTTATACTGATATATACAATGTGTACTATTTATTGAAACTAGACCGTTATTTGAATAATAAAGCCTGCTTTGAGTGACTGGACATGGTAAAAGAAATGAAAAGAGATCCCATTTAACTCTGAATGCCTTACTTTTACAGCTAGGTGAGGAAAGAGCAGATAAAACATCTTTATCAATATGATCTGACAGAGGAACAGTTTCTTACATGTCACAAACAGGGGAATGTTTTGTTGTCTTTTATTACCCTGCAGGAAGAGGACAAGAGAAATTGCTGGTCAGGGGTCCTTTTTCTGATTCTTGGAGTTGTTATTGAGTCCTTGGAATGGTGTGAAAACCCTGTATCTTTAAGAACTGCTACAAAGTTGTCAGGTGTGATAATGGGTTACATATGGGGTGAGACGCACTTCAGTCTCTGACCTGTTGTGCACTCTGGGAGCGAAGGCTAAACAAAATCCAGAAAGTGTGTGGAATGGCAATGGCTGCCAGAGGTGTTAAAGAAGTAATAGATACAGCTTTTTCATTGTGCTTAAGACCAGAAAAAATCATTGTGATTACCTAGTCTGACCTCTTACATTACATAGGCCATAGAACATTGCTTAGTGATTGCTACAGTTAGGATAGATTTGTTTGTTTGTTTTTAATTGAATTGACACCCAACTTTAGAAGGACATCCATCTTTGAAGTCTGGAGCCAAAAAGAGCCTGCAGTGTTTCTTTGGGAGTTGTCCCAGTGGTTAATCAATGGCAGTTTAAAAGAAGTGCCTTACTGTCTGAATTGGCTGCTTTCAGCTTCTAGTTATGTATTTAATGAGAGACAAAAAGTCGTCCTGCTGTCCCACATCTCCCCACGTAGGCTTTTAAGGGCCAGGGTAGCTACCAATGTCATGGTGTCATATTCAGCTAAGTCAAATACGTTAGTTCTCTCTCTTCGGGATACATTTTGAGTCCTCAAATCATTCTTGTTGCTCTCCCAATTATTTGTGTTCATCAGCATTTACTGCCTCACTAATCTCTGTATCCCAAAGCAGATTGTTAGCAACAATCTCATACTTGGTTCCGGATCTGTTCTGGGCTTAGAACCAGCACTTGAGTGACCGAGTCAAAGCATGGCCCTTAAATGGTGATTGCTCACTTGAAGCTAGTTCTAGCTAAGAAACAAATGAAGTGGAACAGGTTTAATCCCTATGATGTCCATACTGTTGTGTAAAGTTAATTTTTGTGTTGGAATAGCATGCAATCTTAAGGTTTACCAAAATTCTGGGATAATATGTCAGCATGATGTCAGAGACATCAAAGGTTGGTTTGTATCAGATTTGGTCAACAAGAATTATATTCCATAGATTTAATTATATTTCTCATTTCTCTTGTTGAGGATGGATGTTTGTTGTTTCCCCTGTTAAGTTTATCCTTGTATGTGCTTGATAACACATTTGCGTTTTCCATACTTTGTGATGATATTTGTCAAATTAACAAGGAGCAGACTGGGAAGAGTTCAGCTTGCTTTTTTAGGTACTTGGGCATGTGCTCGGTCTCGTACTGTGCGCTGTTTCTCTTGGGTTCTCGGAAGTCAGTGCATTCCCCCTCAGTGCTTTTTACTCACTTTCACCAGAGGTAGATCAGTGAAGGAGACAAATGAGGTTAACACCTACCTAAGATAAATGCAGACGGATAATCTCTATTGCTTTACTTTCAGCGGAGCCACCAACAGGATGAGGCATTGTTGTAGACACAATAGGTCAGACATCAATTGTGGCTTTCATTTACATGTCCTGTTTCCTCTTCAAAAGTCCTAGGTTTTTGTGGTTTTTTTTTTTTCTTCTGGTGTAGAACACTATTTCACTTGAGATCCATGCAAGCTACAGTGCCTAAAACCTGAAAAACTCAAAGTGATTTGTCAGCACTTTGAACACATTACCGGACATAAATAATGCATATGTGTGCTCAAAGATGTGAATTAAGAGCAGTGAAAATATTTGCAGAGTGGAAATGGATAATATTGTTTCAGAAACGAATGTTACTTTCAGACTGTGTGGGGAATTAAGGACAGTAGTATCTACACAAAAAGATCACAAAACAGTTTTCAGAAAGAAGTCCCCTTAGGATGAGTGAATACACAAAATAAAGTTACTGCATTTAACTTCCCAAACTGGTATGTTTCAGGAGTTGATTTCAAGAGCGCTGTTCATGTGTTGCAGGTTATACAAAGAATATTCTACACAGTCAATCGATCCTGGTCTGGGAAGATCACTTTAACAGAGCTGAGGAAAAGCAACTTCTTGCAAGTATGTTGGTTTCTGCCTGAACCAGATCTAGAATGCATCATACCTTTGTTCCTATAGCTGTGTACTATATAGCGAGGGAGGCCAAACGCTCAGTGCCAGGAGGGTGCTGGAGGAGTTGTCTGAGATGAGAGAAGACCAAGGGCTGGAGCAGACAAGAGTGCACTGATAGAAGGTGATGGGGCTACTGTGCACCTGCTCTTGAAGCTACATCAAGCAGATTTTGCTCTTGGCTCCTGATCTGTAGCCAAAGAGGAAGGGAAGCAAGACGCAGCAGTGCACCTATGTTAAGTGGCTCATTGAGCAGCCAAGAATAGCTGCTGGATTGCCTTCAATACGTGGTGGGTAGGACAGCTGACTTCCTGACTCCCAACCGGCAGTCAGCCCACTGACAGTTGGTCGGGCATGTTGTGCTGTGCAATTGCAAGACCATCTGTCTCTGGAGCCGATTTCCACTTCTGCAGTAGATTTCTTCAGAAAGGTTCATGAATGAAGCTTAGTTCTTGTTACAATCCCTGCGATGCATTCTTATGTTGGGCAGAGCTTTCAGAATTTGGATCTCTCTTGTCTATGTATTTTGCCCAAAAGAGCACTGGGTTAAAACTGTCTAAGGCTGCTCAACTCCAGCCCAACCTAAAAAGCCAGAAAGTCTTTAGGCTGAAAGGTTAAGGACTCATAAAGCAGTGAGACTTCCCTACTGCATCCTGTTCTCCCTTCGAGGTGTAGTGCGCTGTCTTCCTCACAAGCCTCAAGCATGAGTTCATGTTCCTCCTCCTTTCAGGCATCACCTGCCCCACTGATCACATCAGCTAATGAAAAAATCAGTGCTCCCTTGGATTGTCTCATGCCAGTCCAAGCCCTCTGATCCCAGTTCCTCCCTAACCTCTGTTATAAACAAATCCTCCCAGCTTATCCTGCATCTTTATTTGCTCATTTTCTCCCTTCATACAGTCTTTCACCTTTTTCTGCTTGCATATCTACTCTGCCTTTTGTGTCCTGCAGCAGGGAAGTTCAGCTTTGGGACCATAATTTCGCTTGGGCAGCTCTTTGCTGCATGTATGTAAATGGCGTATTTTGGCATAAGCTATAAAAGAAAAAAAAATAGTTATTGAAAAATCTCCCTAAGTGATTATCATCTCCAAAGAAATGGAGAGACCCACAAAAAATCTGAAGAGACTAGTGAGTGATTGATCAGAGGGGTTTTTTTAGACACGAGTGTCAGCAAGTCAGAATAGTGCAGGTCTGGCAGTGCCATCCTGTTGTCAGTGCCTGAAACTTCACAGAACGTGGTGGATAGCAGGGTGTGAGAGTTTTATTGAGACTCGGTTGGGTTCTTTGCATGTGGAGATGACTGAAAGTTGATGTTAAACTGTCAGTGCCTACATACAGCACAGCATCTGATTTTATGGTTATAGCTAGAAGGGCCACTAACCCTGCCTGCTTAGAGACACAACTGCCTGGGATAGCTCTTGGGCTGTTTCACCTCCTCCCTTCTGAAAGGCTGTGAGGGCGGAGGAGGACAGACCTATAGATCGCTTGAGTCTGTTAGCTTTTTCATGTTCCTGCAGCCATAATTTATTAGACTGAAAAGGCTGTCTGGTGTCCTGTCGCCTCAGCACTGGGAGAAAGGGAAGCGGGTGGCACAGGTAAACGTGCAATAGCCTCGTCTTGGTGGGCAGGTGGAGTGGAGGGAAGGACCAAAGTAGGTGTGAAGTGGGAATAAAACAAGGACATTGTCACTAAATGTTTTCTAACAAGACATATTAACAGATGTCATGGTTGGAAATCTTTGAAAGCCTCCCAGTTAAACCAGACTAATTCCTCACAGTGACAGCCCAGGAAAATCAGTGTGATTGGTTTGATCTGCTTCAGATCCATCCCTCCTTCCCCCGTCCAGGCATGAGTCTGGAGCAAGACTTGATTTTGCCCTTCAGGAGCCAGGCAAGGATGAGTGATGTGTAAAGAAAGATATATCTCAGTTCCTGTGGAGAACTGTGGACTTGCTGTTGTAAATGGCCCTAAAAGTCTCTGGTGCAGGTCAGGAATGTTTCACAAATAATGGATCCCAGCTGAGACAGCAGTTGTGTTCTTGTTTCTCTGCCTCACTCTTCATGATAGCTGAAAATTAGCAGAAATTGTTCACAGGAATGGCAGAAAGATTGTGCAGATGTATGCTAACCAGGATAGCCAAGCCAGACGCTCTGTAAGTGCCTGTTAAGGAATGCAGCAACAAAATCTTCTAAAAGGGAGAAAGGCTGCATTTTGTATTAGCTCTCAGAGCTGTGTTCACCCAACTTCCACAGAGGTTGGAGGACTTCAGCTGCTGAACAGCCTCTTTGTCTAGGTTTAACTTCCCGCTTTATTTGTACTCTTTCAGACTCTTGCTCTCTTGGAAGAAGAGGATGACATAAATCAGATCACAGATTATTTCTCCTACGAGCACTTCTATGTTATATACTGTAAATTCTGGGAGCTGGACACTGACCATGATCTTTACATCAGCCAGAAGGATCTGGCTAGGTACAGTGATCAAGGTATGCTGCCTGCAAGCTGTGGTGGGACAAAGGGGATTGCTGAAAATAGAATGTTCCCACTGAGGAGTAAAGCCGAGCTTTAATTTGGTTAATTTGATGCCTCGAAAAAAATTAGAGCCATCCATCTACTACATAAATGCTCACTTAGAGACAAATGTAGGGGCTTAAACACAGAGAAATGCAGTACACATTATTTTCTGCATGAGTAGTAGAGAGGGAGCTTCTGTTCATGTGTGGGTCACTGCCAGAAGGACAAGCTAAAATAATGTCTCAAAACTTGCTTGTTATTTACTAAGGGTTTTGCAGGAACTCAGAAGTAGAGACAAGGAGGACAAGCCCATGTAAACTTCAAAGATTGCTGAAGTGCAGTCTTGTTATGCGTGAGAGAAATTCCAGAGTCCAGTGAAGCTGGGAGAATTTCAGTTTGCAGCTGCACTCTGGAGACTATCTTGTGGAAAGGAGTTCCACACTGAACTCGCATGTTGAGCAGATGCTATGAGTTTTCAAAGGTTCAAGGGCCTGCAAGTTAATGGAATACAAATCCACAAAGGGCTAAAAAATCCAAAGACACTTGTTCTGTACGTGTTGTGCTAGATGGAGGCACTCAGCTGTGCTGGTTTTAGGATTATCCTTGTTCTGAGAGTATATGCCCATGTGCTTACCTGTTAGGACTCATGATGTAATATCTTGGACAAGAGCTTGAGCTGTTGACCAGCATGTTTAATCCTGTAGACAAAGCTTTCTTAGAGTCTTCTGTGTGGTTGCTGCACTTTTTGGGAAAGTAGATCTGGGACAGAGAATCAGATTTGGGGACATGGGATGTTTGGACACAACGTGTGACTGGAGACGGCAGGAAAGGTGCAGTTTGTGGCAAGGTGTTGTCATGTGTAGGCCTACAGGGATCTGGAGGTGTGACAAGTTGTCAGGCGTTGCTGGAGCTCTGGGGATGGGGACAGTATTTTGTAGGAGCCAAGATCCTATTGGGCTGAAGTAAGAAAGAAGGAAAGGGGTGTGAGAATGACAATGCTGTAGGTATGTGTGTGTCGGAGTGGTGTGGTGGCCCACGTGTTCTGTGTTCAGGCGTTGATGGGAAGGCCAAGGGGGTTCTGGGTGAGTGTGGCAGTCACAGGGGTCAGAAGCATTGATAACAGGGCTGGATGGGGCGAGGATGGAGGAGTGCCTGACTTGGGATAGGTGACACGGGAGACTTGGTCCCTGCTGGGAGGCTGGAGTGTGGACTATTTCTTGCACAGGAGGCTCGAGAGTACAGGGTGCTGGGGAGCTAAAGATAGAAGGGGTGCTGTGGGCAGGGTGAAGGGGAGAAGCTGTCAAGTGCAGTGCAGCCTGTCAGCACTATGCCGGGAGATTTGAGGGGTGGTGCAGGTTGGGTCTGCCTGGCTGTGTCAGAAGTGTGCCAGGACTACAGAAGTGATGGAGGACATGTAGAAGGAGCTATGGTGGGGGTCTAAAGGAAGTGTGTTGGCAGTCTGGGAGGATGAGGTCAGTTTGCAAATCCTGCTCAAGACTGGTACTTGCTGCTTGGCTGGTTTGTCTCTGCCATAACAATCTATCCCACACATTTCCTGGCTGGCAAAGCCTTCCCACTCGCCTAAAACCATGCTTTTTTTTCATTGTCCTTCCCTGCAGCAGGATAGCCACAGCTTGTGCTCTGCTAAGAAGTGTTTTGTAGGGATTTGATGTGTGATTTTTTGCTTGATAACTCAACTTCTTTTGCAATGCACGCTGAAATGGTCTTCTATCAGCAGGATTTGCTTATGTGACAAATCCTACTGCAACAAAGGAGGAGTAACACTGCCCATGTTCAAGAATCCAGATAACACACAGTTGCCATATTTATGGGGAAATACAGTGTTTGGGAGGACACAAAGGCAGACACACTGGGAGAATCATATTTTTTGCAAAATACTTCTAAACAGAGACCTTAGACAGGCAATGTAGATAGAGCATTCTTTTAGCAATGGGAAATGGCTTTGTGTGGATTCAGCATAAACAACTGATTGTAGTTATTCCTGTGACCTGTAACTTCATTTTCTCCATGTTTTCTTTGTTTCCAGCTTTATCGAACAGGATTATTGAGCGAATATTCAGCGGCGCTGTGGTGAGGTGAGGAATAGCATGCTGGTTGGGGATAGAAGTGAAGGGAATTTCTGCCAGGCCGATTAGAAATGCAAGATACTCTCAGAAATCCCCACTGATCAGAATGGTTTCCAACATGGTGCTCCAGTTGGAGCTGCCTGAAAACAGAGTGAGACTTCTGGGTATCTTAAGAAAACAAATTAAAAAATCCCATATGATGACCACCTATAGACCTCATTGTAGAACCAACTAGGCATAGCTGGAGGGAACATGCAAGCGCTATGTGTTTGTGCCCCACGGTGGCACAGGGGTAGTTGGAGAGCACTGCTTTAAAGTCTCCGAAAAGTGAAACAGCCTAGGGTTTGTTGTGGGAGGGGATGTGGTAGGTGAGCCTCAGGGAGGCAGTGACAGCGAGGCAGCAAATGCTGTGTCTGTGGGGCAGCGCACAAGGACTGGTGCTGCAGAGTGCAGGCAAAATGGGTGACGATGCCCCATTTTCTCTCACCAATGATTTGGGGCTTTTGAAAAACGTTTGATAACATTCTGAGTGTTCAGGAGCCTGGTGATTTGGGGGGTTTATTTGTTTGTTTGGTTTTTTTCCCCTCATGTGTCTTCCAGAGGCAATGAAGTTCAAAAGGAAGGCCGCATGAGTTATGCTGATTTTGTGTGGCTCCTGATTTCGGAGGAAGACAAAAGGAGTGCTACAAGGTCTGACTGATTTCTCTGTCTTAGTAAAAGTATTGAGATGAGCAGATGAGATTGTAGAAACTTCTGTTATCTTCAGCTTTCTACAAGAGACGGCAGTTCAGGTTCCAGTGATTATTAGGAGAAAAGCAACTTAACTGTCAACGTTTGGTCAAATCATTTGCCTTTCTTGAGGAGAAATTGTGTGGAAGCAGACTTTTCTTGTAATGTTAAACATCTTGGTAGTCATCAATCCCTTTGGTTACCTCATGTCATGAAGCACTGGCTCTGGGGATAAACCCATGAGATGTTTGCAGTGGATCAGCATGTTCCCTTCATGCATGTAGTAAGTGCACAAGAAGAGGTTGTAGGGAGACTTCCACTGTGTCACGTTGTAAAACCTGCCCATGTGCCTGGTTTGTACAGCCAGTGGGAGACTGTTGTGCGGACCTGAACTAGAGCTGCATGCGATTATTAGCACAAGGAATCTTATGAGTGAAAATGAGAAGAAGAATTCATAAATGCAGGGTTGGACTATCCAGAGGTGAATGGAGGATGTAGAGTGTAACTGCCTGAAAGCATTGCCTTCTGTACAAATGAGCAGAGGAAATAAGTGCATACCATGCCGGCCTCATCACTCACCAGGGTCACTCAGGGACAGCCAGTGTCCTGGGTTCGGAGTTGGTTGTATTTGGCCAACTTTTGCTGCTGAATCAGACGGGGACACCCTCACCTATGTGAGCCAGTTGAGCTGCAGCACAGCGGACACTTGCTAGGACTACCAGGTGGAACAGGTCATGAGGATGATTAGGAGGCTAACAGGAGATGCTCTTGAGTGTTGGCCTGTGCTCTGATCCTTCCCAAAGGGTATTTTCTTCGCTGGTTTTATGCCAGCCTTTGGGCAGAAAAACATTAGAGGATGAGGGAAGGGGAATGTGCATTGCTGCAGTCTCTGCTGTATGGATTTCCTAGTGCAGCGGTGTGCTTTCATTAGTCATGTCTTTTTTTCCTAGCATTGAGTACTGGTTTCGGTGCATGGACCTGGATGGGGATGGAGTGCTCTCCATGTATGAACTGGAGTACTTCTATGAGGAGCAATGTGAGCGGATGGAAGTGATGGGCATAGAACCACTGCCATTTCATGACTTGCTGTGTCAGATGCTTGATCTCGTTAAGCCAGAGAGGGAAGGTAAGTCCTATTGAATGGGAGTTTCCATCCTCTTTGATCTATGGTGGATTGAGAAAGTGCTGTCACTGTGAAACCCACCTATAGGTAGAGCCTTGTGTTAGAATCACAGGGCTGAAATTACTGCACAGTCTGTGCAGTAAGTTCAGACAGTCAAAGTCTGAACAGTGGCTATTGTGCATCAGGAGGTCTGAAATACTAAAACAAGAGACCTGGTGAATTAACTTGCTGGAACTGGAGCAACAAGCCTTGTATATTCCAGCTGTGGGATGTGCTAACAGTCTAGATTATGAAACTGGACCATCCCCATTCGCTCATAGTTCACATGAATGTGAAAGACCTCCATACGTATGTGAGATTTAAGCCTAATAAACATACCCATTTATTGAATAATGTCAAAATCCTTGAATGACTTTGGAATAAATTTTTTAATATTGTAGCATACTGGTGTTACAAGAAAAACTTTTATAATATAAGACTGACAAGGAGCAGGTCCAGTCCCTCGCTAAGTAAGAACTCAGTACCACAATAATGTGGGTTGTTTTTTGCTGTAGGAAGAGTAACCCTGCGAGACCTGAAGAGGTGCAGAATGGCTCATGTATTCTACAACACCTTTTTCAATTTAGAGAAATATCTGGACAATGAACAGAGGGATCCCTTTGCAGTGCAAAAGGTATAAATCACCTTTATTTCTAAATACAGGCCTTCTCAAACCCATTTTTGGAGTTTAGGGAAAATCTAACCAAATATAAGAACACTTTTTTCCACAAGTAGGCCAGTCAAACACTGGAACAGGTTGCCACAAAGGTTGCGCAGCTTCTATTCTTGGAGGTTTTTAAGACGTGACTGTACAAAGCCTTGAGCCTCCTGATCTGACCTCATAGCAAATCCTGATTTGAGCAGAGGCTGGCACTAGAAACCTCCGGGGTCTCTTCCAACGCAAGTTATACTGCTGTTCTGTGATTTGGTTGCCATCACTCATCCTGCTACACCAGCACTGGCAGTGCAGTGTGTGATTCTAGAGAGAATGACCAGAGCCTGCTGAGTTGCACTGATTCAGCAGACTGAAAGAGGGGGGCTTAGCTGCACTAGAAGGGAACCTGCTTTGCTCAGTTTAGAAAGGAGCTGTGAGATGCAGAACTTGAGATACCATTTGTCTCTTCCCATCCCCTACACAGCTGCAGTCATGAATAAGTAGGCAATATGTGAAGATTCATTAAACGTCTGGGTTGGAGTCTGATCCTTAAAACAGCAGTAGCAATTTTCCCACAGCCTAAGCAGAACCAAAGAGATAGACCTTCTTTACTGCACAGGGGCTGAGGCAGATGAGATGCCAGCTCCGTGATCAGGCCATACATGCAGCAGACTAGATAGAAGGTTTGGGTGTTGCCGATTATACCTGGTTATCAGCCTGGCTGCCCTGTCATTGATCATCCTCTCTTCCCAAGCAGAGAAAATAGAGGAAGAGATTGTGGCTCTTGTATTTTGCTGTTGTTGCTCACCACTAACTCTGGGATGTTCAGACACCTGAGTTTTGTCAGCTGTTGGTGTAAAGTCCCTCACTTTTGGCTCCCCTTGCATATCCAGTGAAACCAGATGTGACTACAGCTTAAAGACTATCTCCTAGAAGCCTCTTAGCTCATCGAAGTACAGTAAAGTGGAGGGGATGCCAAACCAACTCTGGTTCTGTCCCAGTTGTTCCTACATAACCTGTAAGATGAACTTTCTGGTTCTGTGATTCAAGGCTTAAATATATCCAAAGCCAGAATCACCCTATTTTTTTGTTTGTTTGTTTAAACTGGATCGTCACCAGAGCAGTCACATATGGCCAGAGGGGATAATTCATTTTCCCCATCTTATAGTAAATGGCAGAGGGACAAATGTTTATAAGGATATTATTCTGTAACCTTCTCTCAAACTTGCCCAAACTTTGCAGACAGTGAAGAGCTCCTCAAACGAACAGTTACAATTAACATTTAATTAAAGATGTTAAATGACTGAGTAATTTAAGGAATTACAAAGTGCACAGATGCAGGGCTTGCTGAGCTAGAGCAAAGAAAATGTGCAGTTATTAATGTTCAGCATTTCTGAAATGAAGCAGGCTCAGTTTGCTGGCAGCTCGGGTCACCTGCTGAGCTTTATAGACTAAGGGATGTATTTTTTCATAGTCATTTATGTGCAGATGTTAAAATAGTTTAAGATAATTGTGAATCTTTCAGTTGTGGCAATTTTTGACTAGCTGTTTCTATACGGTTGCTTACTATTCCTAGAATTGCCGTTTCACATGTTTAGATGTAAACAGCTGTAGAGAGGTATGGACATAATGTGCTTGACTGTCTGATCTCTTTAGGACACTGAAAATGATGGCCCTGAACCCTCTGACTGGGACAGATATGCTGCTGAAGAGTACGAGATTCTTGTGGCCGAGGAGTCTGGGAACGAGCAATTACAAGAAGGGTAAGCGTAGGCATTGCACTGCCCTGGGGACACACTATTTGGCTCCAGCTGAGGTTTAGTAGGAGCACGTGGATGCTACTTTTAACAGAGGTAGTGGATTAATGGACTTATCATTTGGACTCAACACTGGAGCATGTGAAGCCTGAAGGAGTTGCTCCAAAAGGCAGCATTGGTGTGTTTGTCACAATGGGCTTCTTTGTGGGCAGCCATTTGAATCGGGTACACACACTGCAGTAACGAAGATAGCTGGGAAAAAAGGACAAAGCCTTTTTCTTTTGGCAACCATTCAAAAAAAGAGATCAAATGACTTTTGCTAGTCTTGGCCATGTATTGACCATGTCACAGTATCACCAATTAGAAGCTGTAGCTCTGTTACATTTATTATACCTAGCAGAGACTTTCTTTAGTTAAATAATTTTACTTTCTGCCAAACTTTATGCCTATTAGTCTGTGCTCTTTGTAAGCTGTGTTTCAACGTTTTTATTAATTTACTAAGTTTGAGACTTTTTCTTTAAAACACTGTTTGTTTATGCAATACCTACACTCATTTTTGCAGCCTTCTATAAAATTCTGGACAGGCATTCCAGCTATCCTTAGAGTCAATGAATTTAGGCAGAGCAGTTGCTCCAGAACCTCTCTATGTGCAAGGGCTTCCTGCAGAGGCTCCTAATGGAGACTCAGTATAATTAGCTTTTAGATTTGTGTCTGTGTTAGTATCTTCTTGAGAATATTTCTCTGGAAATCTCCAGGTTAATATAACAAACATCCAAACAACGCTTACCCCATGTTAATCTTGCGTGATTTAGCATTTCATCCATTCGTGAACAGTATTTGTAGCCCCATTAAAGTAAGAATACTGAGAAGATTGCCTGAGTTTCAAAATTTCCCACACTGGAATTTGCTTGGGATAACAGTAGCACCTACTAATTAGCCACAGAGATTTGCAAAGCTATTGAGAGCTATGTTCCCCCTTCTCCCTGTGATATGCATCCAAACAACTATGGGCTGTTCCCTCATCTCCTTTGAGCTGCCTTGCCTTTTTGTGGCCTTCACAATAGAAGATGAGGTTACACAGGATGGAAGATAAAATTGCTGTATTCCCTGCAGCTGCTTTGCAACACCTGTGTCCTCAGCACAGAAAAGAAAGAGGAGTCTGCCATAAAAGCTTTGCAGGACCATGAATCTCCAAACTCACCAAAACCAGCGAAAATGGCAGGTGATGTCAGATTTTTGACGTCTGTCTGAAACAGCTGTGTCTTCCTGTCAAGAGCATGTCAGCAACCTTGCTGCTTGCTTTTAAGAGCCTCTGAAAAGCTCTGTAGTCATGGCAGCAGGATTAGATCTCATTTGTGGAGCACAGCAACAGACCATGCAGGAAAAAAGGAAAGGAAAAAGAAAAACAAAGAGCTGGATGCCCAGACAAATTTGCCAGAAACAGCCATTGAGTCTTAGCACATACATTATTTCTGCTGTCCTTTGAGGATGACAGAAACAGGGACCAGGGACAAAACCAAGACAATTTAAGAGCTCTATGAGAGACCTGGAAGATTTTTGGCGAAGCTAGTTGGCAGCACGTGAAATCTGGTATTTGTCTTAATACATTTGAAAATAACCATCGTTCAGCAACTGGATATGATTTAGTGTGTACCACATTTGTGACTTAGCCGTGTCCATAGCTTCTCTGGATGAAAGGTTTCTAAAACCAGTCAGTGTCTGTCTGGCTGTCTGCAGGCTTGCCCATGACAGAGCACTGCTTCTGAAGAGGAATCTCATCAAGACATAGTGGATACTCAGAGTGACTTCAAGGATGCTGCGACTCTACTGAGAGCTACAATCACCAAAAAGAAGATAAGAGAAAGGTGTCGTCTTGCTGAAGACAACAATGAAGCATCACGTTTCACTGGAAGCTGAAGCTGATCTGAACACTTTCTGTTTTATACATCTGTGTATGAGATTCAATAAAGAGAGTCTGTTCCCTGTGAATGTATACACAGATTGTTGTTTGAAGACAGAACCAATAGTAGAATCTGACCAACACAAGCTCTTAATGCAGATATAAGCATTGGTTTTGCAGAAATCCTTTCTTGCCGTTCAGGCTATGGCCTGCCTGGCAGAAGTGGGCACTGCTTTGTTCACTGTTCCAGAAACCAGTTTCAGCCAGCTGATGTACATGGAAGCCACAGTTGCCTTCATGGAAAGAGATCTTTCTCCATGGGAATGGAAATAAGGAGGAAGAGGCCATCTTTTATCAGCTGCTGATAGGACAGAATCCCCTTCACCTGAGCAACAAGAAGCGAGATGACAATGCAGAACAATGCTGCTCAGAGGCGGATAGGTGGGACAAAGACACAAGATCAGATAATGTTGGTTTAGGCAGCTTAGACCGTTTTTCTTGTGTCCCTCAAGTCGGCTGATGGCTCAGTTGCTCACTTTCATGAACCCAGCAGTATAAGGAAGGGAAAGGGGAAGAAGTACATCGCTGAACCACCCAGTGACAAAATGTGGGCTCGCAGAAGGAAGGACGAAGAATTTCCTGGAGTAATTTGCCTTCTGGGAACAAGCTAGTTGCCATGGTTGAGTCTTGAGGAATGGGTGTTTAATCTACATGAGCCAATATTTGTATTTATGGGACTGTGAAGTTTTGAAACTGGCCTGGATGGAGAGAAGGTGATTATCTTTAGTGCTAATCTTGTGGACAAGCTGTCCCTTGGATGCTTCTTGGAAAGGTGGAAGCATTTTTTCCAAGATGGGAAAGGCAGGCACTGTTGAGCCTTAAGGAGTAAAAGAGTGAAGTGGAAGAGTAACTCACATGGGAAAGGACAATGGGAAGCCCCCTTTGGAGCAGACATGAGAAGGTTTAGTCCCGAAGCAAAAGGCACCAGAAAAAAAATTACAATGCAGCTCCAAGTGCTGGTGAGTGTGCAAGCTAACAGAGGAAAGAGGTCACATTCCACATACAGGATAAAAAGAAGAAAGCTAACAGAATTTGGTAAAATTGAAGAAAAAAGAGGACACAAAAGGAGCATTCCTAAGAACAGCATTCAAACGGAAACAAGAAGTTTTCCTTATCTTGAACCAAGGAGACATTAGAGAAAGTGAGGCACATACAAACATGCACAGCCCCTGCCCAGGTGGGGAAGGCGGGGAAGGCAGGGCCATGCAGACTCCCGACAGGTACCGCTGAAGCAAAGAGTGCCTATTGTGCACTTTTTGGCAACCTTGCATGCGCGATCAGAACAGTTATTGCTGTAGGATCCAGACCAGTTTCCCTTCTCCCACTAATGCAAGGATCCAGAAGGTGGCAGAATTACTAAGCAGGTGCTTTCCATTATGGAAGAGAAGATGAAAATGTTGTCCAGGAAGATCTCTATGCTGTTTGTCTCTTCTTTATATAGGGGTCACCAGACTATAGCATAGAATCCTCCCCATAGCAGGACATCCGTACTGACAGGCTCCCAAGGATTTGCTGTGCCTGCATATGGGTTAGTGAAGGGAAAAACAGCACAAGAAGTGGTAGGCAATTCTTTCTTGGCACCATCCATGCTGGGATATCAAAGGAGTTAACCTTTTTGCAGCACAGTTTACCGCCGAACAAACTAGAGCTATTCCTGTGCTTGCCATTGGAACATCTGCTCCAACATTTCCTTCATAAGCAGCTTTGCTTTCAGAACAAAATAATTTGAATTTCTTGGGAAACCTGAGAAACTAACCTATGGTGTGCTGAGACTGGAGGGAAAACATCTTAAAAACATCGTTTCTCAGGAATAGGAATGGGATGAGAGCCCCAAAGCAGTATCCTCTGCTACAGACACGCAGAACCTAGCCAGCCTGAACAGTGCAACTGGCCGGAGCTGAGAACTCACAGCCAAACCTCCTCAGGCCATAAATGCTAAGACCTGGATATTAAACTTCAAACCAAGTGAGAGAGGAACGTGACAGCACGGCCATAATTGTTCTTCTGTGGATGTCAAAACATACCCTAAGCCAGAAGATGCTTTGGCAGCCAGGTGTTTCTGAGCAAGTCTGAGCAAGCCAAATCTCCTCTAGGGCCTGGATGTGTGGCTGGACAACTTTATTTCTACAGTGAACTATTAAGGAAGGCTACTGTGAGCTCCTGACAATTGTTACTGAAACAAGATTCAAATTTTATCATGCTGAACACCAGTGAAAAGATGTTCTGGAACCTACAAATGAGGATGGATGGGAGCATAAAGTCATGTCAGCTGTCAGAATACTGATTACTACCGCGCTGTTTTCAATGCCTTATAAATATCCTCCTCGAGGTTAACATCTTGCATGCTACTGTATTTTAGCCAGCTGTTTTAGTAGCCACTGAAATAACTTACCTGAAAACGCTTTCACCAAAATACGGCTTTTAAAGACATACCTTTTATCTTTGCAGATCATTTGAAGACTATGACACAGATGAAGTCTTATCTCCCCCTGAAACTGGAGACAAGTCAGACAAACTAGTTATCTCAGATCTCTCAGCATAGAAAAATGGAAGACTTTTAATCAATATCTTTCAAACTGGATAGCATTCAGGCCCAAGAACACTTAGGGATTTTTTCTTTAAATCCGTCATTGGAGCAATGTGCTTTATTTTGTACACTGTAACTTGAGAACCCTTTTTCTCTTCCTGTGTAATTGCAATAAGGTAATTTCTATAAGAAGGCTTTTTACAATGTGTTATCGTGCACGCTCATTAAAAATGGTGATTGCACCTTGTTTCATTTATATATAAATTCTTTTATGTCCCCAGATGTGCAATAAATGCCAGCATCTAATGGTTAACTGTAACAACTGCATGCAACATCTATAGTGGTCATTTCTCAGTCAGTTCAGTCCTATGCCATTCTGTCCCCTTGACTTTATACCAGGAGTGACAAAAGAGCTGCCGAATTACCTTAATTTAAATGTATGTCTAGAAATCTTTTAAAATGCAACTCACAATGAAGTTCTTTTTTTTCCTTAGTGTCCTGGAAACCAAGGCAACACGCCTGCGTGTGGGGAGAGTGAAGTCCCCTTTTGCACTTTAAACCACAAGCTCTTACAGTTGATACTGGACATATTTTACTTGTATGAATCTGTGGACAGTTAAAGCACTACATGATGTAATATTTCTCTAAGAATTTGAGCTATAGTTAACATTTCTGCATATTTTTCTGTGCGTAAGAGGATCTTCTTCAGGCTAGTGTTTTGTCTCTGTAGATGTATTTTCTAGCGTATTTACAAAAAAAGACATATGCTGTTCAGCTAGTGTGTCGAAGCTGCCGTGTCCTGTGTGCACCAGTTCCGTCCATTCCCTGTGTTCTTCTCCTTTCTTGTACTATTCTTGTATCCTAACCTGTAGCCTTCTCCAAGAGGCTAGGCTGAGATAAGGAAGAAAAAAACCCAACCCTGACCTAGTCTGCTAAGTTTCTGTTTACCAGAAGTATCCTTTAATTCATAAAGGAATCAGTCTGTAATATTGCCAAAAATTTCTTTTCCACCAATGAAGTAGGCCCCAGTCTCAGAGAGGAAAAACTGTAACTAATGAATTCTTGCTTTAAGTGCTAAATTAGACTGACTTTCAACATAGAATCAGAACTGGTGTCTCTAGTAGTAGCACATGCTCTGCTGCTGGACCTCTTCCTCCTTGCCAGCTCATAGCTGTCTGTGATTCAGCACAGAGGCGATTATAACGTATTCTTACTGGTCCTCAATTTTAGTCACCATAGATACACAAATAGATCTGGTACTTACCTTCTCCAGCTTGGGACAGGTTTCAGCTGTTACATTTTATTGCAACTATCCTAATTGTGCCCAAATGTGTAATCCTTGGTTGGTATGTGTACACTATTATTTCCTCTTACCTTACTGTAAGAATATCAAACCATGCCTCCTCGGGCCATCCCTGCATGAATGCCTGCCGAAACACCCGAGAGACATCTGCCAATGCCAGGATCAGATCTCCAAGCAGGCACCTGCTTGCCTGCACTAAGGGCAGAACCCATCCAGTTAATAGATAACTTGTGTATACACACGCATGCTGTTAGCCGGGTGCATTTTGTACACACAGGTACTAGCACAATGGAACATTAACACTTAGAGGTATCATCTAGGGATTAATAACCAAATACGTAATTGGCTGATGACTACAATGCAGCTTCAACTTTTCCAGGAGCCTTTGAAGCTTAACGCCTGCCTCCTGATGCCCAGGTGGGATATACTGCTGCCTTGTTGAGGTTAGTAACTCTCCTCAGGATCAAAATCTGAAAGAGAGGAAGTTTTCAGTTGTACTGGGCTTAGAGATCTATTTTCTTTTTCTTGGAACAAAGCTGCTATTTTATCCAGATGTGTATACACACCCCAGGTTCCTGGGTTTGATATCTGGGAAACTTCTGGATGCCCAGGTTATTAGCAAAGGCACTGCACGGTAACTTCCATTCCATAATAAAAGATGTAAGCAGGGAGCACTCTGACCAAACCAGGGTAAGTCCCTTTGAATGCAACAAGCACACAAGAGTGGCTCTGTTCAACACCTGGGTGTTTGAATCACATCTCCATCATCACTACAACCTTGAGGGGAAAAGCTGTACTGGGAATGATTCCACAAAGGCCCAAATGCAGAAGAAACTAGGAAACAACTGCCGAAATGAAGATAAAATGGAAGTTGCACAACTGCTAATCGTAACCAGCTCCGTCCACTTTTTGCCGGAAGGAACCTAGGCAAAGCAGTTCATCGCTTTTCTTCACTGTCTAGGTCGAGAGTGGCCTTTTACTCTTAGTTTGATAAAATTTTACATCTCTCCAAAGACAAAGATTCCTCAAAGGAACAAGAGGAACCTGACCCCATTCTAGGCTGAAATTGAAACTTCATGTCACTTCAGCATTGCTAGCTTTTGACTCCTTAAGCAGCAGTACTGGAATGTCCAGTTTGCCAGTTATGTAAAGCCTCGTTCCAGAATAACTTCGTGATTGTCTCCTTAAGGTTTTAACCTGGGATAGCCCTTGTGCCTCAAAGAAGCGAAGCTCTCCTAGTGCTATACAGAATAATAGAATAATTCAGGTAGGAAGGGACCTCTGTAGGTCTCTAGTCCACCTCCTCGCTCAAAGACAGGCCAGCTTTAAAGTTAGAGTGAGTTTCTCAGGACCTCATCCAGCTGAGGTTTGAAAAATCTCCATAGACAGTGATTCTACAACCTCTCTACGTATTACGTTTCCTCCTCCTCCTCCCTATGGGAGTTCAGAGCAACATCCTTTTCCAGGAAGGATGTATATTCCTGGGAATGCACAATTTCTTTTTTACAAAAGGAGGGAGTTAGATGGACTCGAGGACTTGCCAGGTGAGCAAGTGCCACCCTGTTCTCAAGCACCAGCTGTGTGTTGGGATGCAAACGCAGCCCGTGATGGACTGTGAAGAGCTGGTACTCCAGCAATCCTTGGTACATTGCTCTTTTTCCGTTTGGCATTTCCATTCTTGCTAGGTTGTACCTTGAGCCTACTTCTGCTGTTCCTGCTGTCTCTATGCGCCCACCACTTCAGGATCTTACTCCTCATATGCCTTTTGCAGAGGGGCTTTAACTCAACCCATCAAATTAGTTCAAACTTCCACCTCACACCACACCAGTCTCCCTGAACTGGTGCCTTTTTTTGAAGAAGTCAGTATCCCAAGGCTGATAAAAATCACCAGTTAAATTTTCCAAGGTTTGGCTTCAATAAATTGAGACAGAAGCTTGGAGCTGCTCTGCGGAGCCTTTTGGCCCCCAAACCCAAGGCCCTCTCTTCTACAAACAGAGGTTCACTGCTGCTATGACAAAGCAGAGTGATTCCAAACGTAATTCATGCTTTCCAGTAGGTCAACATGACAACCTAATCAAAGAAAAGAAACAACTTCCAGCAAATGTTTTGCCTTATACATGAATGTAAGGACAAGCTACAGAAGCCACTGCTAGCATGGTATCAGTGTAAAACTTGCTGTAATTTATATTATTTACTCCAGGAGTAGAAATGCGTTCTCCTTCACTAATACATTTGAAAGATAACCATAATTCCACAGCTACAGATGAATTAGTAAAGGAGGTATTCTACACCTCGTTTGTGACTTAGCCCTGTCCACAGCTTCTCTGGATGGAAAGTTTCTAAATCTGCAGTATATAAGCAAGGTAAATTTGAGAACTCCTGTCCTACTTCTTAGCTTTTTTTTCTGGGACAGTCAAAACGTAAGACGACGAGGATGTTTGTGAGTACAGACACCAGAGCCTGCTCAGCTGCAACACACACCAGCTTCAGAGGTCAGCAAGCTCTCTAGAATGAAGCAACCCAAGAATCATCGCACAGAAAACATGCAGGGCTCCACTTGGCTCTGAGTTGGCCTCCTGTCTCCAACTGTCGGCGCCACTTTAGATGTTGCATACCTTTAAAGATAGATCATACATTTTTTCATTGTAAATCCAGCTCGGACTGAAGTCTGTTATGAGCCAAATTCCTTTTTCCTTAGGAGTAGTCAGAAAAGTGAGTAAAATTCAGTTTTGCATGATAAAGAAAAAATACATTTGTGTTTATTTGTTCTCTCCAGTGTGCTTTTGTCTAGGAAAATGAAGTCCTGTGTCCTTACAAAACCCTTGCTTTTTATTTTTATATTCACAACTATTCTCTCTCTGCAGTACTAAGATTGGAGGTATGGCTCAATACAACCACATGCAATTACTGCTAGAATGGTACTAGCTTGGTGTTTTTTTTTTTTTTCTTCTAAAATCTCAGTAGTAATTGCTCCATTACAGTTTTTGTCAGCAAAGCCCCGGCGCTGACCCAGCTCCCCTTCTGCCGCTCTGACACCAAGCGGCAGTGTTGTAAAACCGACATGGACAGCAAAAAAAGAAATTCCAGTCCGTCTCAGGGTTACAGAAAACATTGTGGAAAACCTTCCTGGTCTCCTGAACCTAAGGATTTAAAGAAAGCTGACTCAAGCTACTCTCACCAAGGTACTGTGCTTAGCTTCTGAAATAACATATGCCTGAAAGGCCAAAAAAAAAGAGGTCACTGAAGTGTCATTTTAACGGTACGTTTTTTTTGGTGGACAGCATTTCTAAATCACAGTATCTTAGGTCTATGCAATCAAAAATGAACCTCAATAAAGAGCATGAGCTACTGTAAGAAAAACATGTCAACAGTGCTTACCCTTTTATTCTACTCTTTTTCTCTGTATCACTGGGTGATGGTTTTAGAAACGGAGTATTTAATAATAAAAGTTCTCATACTTTGTAAAAGTAGTTTGGAGACATTTTGTGCTGGCATGGTTTGATCTTTGTATTTTTACTTTGTATTTCCTTCTTTTTTGGCAAATAAAGGACTTTTGAATTTAAAAAGCAAAACCTGTCTCATAGTGGTGGGGCAGAGCGTTACTGTTCATCTCCAGCTGTTCTCCCAAAACCGCCTTCCCTGCTGTTGCTGAGCTCACGCCATCCAGTTACCTGTCGGCAAGCCTGCCAAAGCCAAATTCCAGGCTTTCTTCTCAAAAATACCCGGGCAAAGCAATCGGACCACTTACCTTCCTCGCATCTTCATCCTCAACACGGAGCACTATCCCTGGGCTGACTTACCACAATGCCAAGCTCCCTCATTTTAACCTGTCCCGAAAAAAAAAAAGAGAGACATCTTCTGGATCTTCTGCAAGTGGCATGAAGAGAAAAAAGAAAAGGAAAAAAAAGCAATGCCTTTTCTGATTTCATTATATGT